GTGCGTCTGGATTCCAGCGACAGCCAGTTTAGTCCTTTTAGCATGTCACAATGGTGAGTCCTGTAATTACATTGTAGCACAAATTGGCAGAACAAGTTATACAATGTGTTGAGTTTATTAATGTGGGATTGAGATGCAGATGCATATAGTACATCCCCATAATCAATGATTGGCATCAGCATTTGCTGTACAATCTTTTCCTTTACTGTAGGGCTTACGCAGGATTTGTTTCTGTACAGGGCACCTAGTTTTGGATAAAGTTTAGATGCAAGCTTTTCTATGTGCAGGCCAAAAGATAGATTGGAGTCTAACATCATACCCAAGTATTTGAAAGAGTGGACTGCGGTCAGTGTGCCATTTTAATTTGTTTTGATGGATAGGTGGGAATTGTGCAATTTGTGTAATTTAGGTACTGTTCCAAAGATCAGTGTGACAGTTTTGTTAGTGTTCAGGAAGAGTTTGCTTTTTGCAATCCACTTTTCTACATCTGTAAACTGGTTTTGGAGCACAGCCTCAAGCTGCGGTAGATTGGATTTGCTTGCATAGATTACTGTGTCATCTGCGTACATGTGTACATTTGAGGATTTGTAGACATTAGGCAGATCATTTATAAATAATGTAAATAGTAGGGGGTCGAGAATGGAACCTTGGGGAACACCACACGTGACTGGGAGAGTGAGGGAGTCGCTATCAGAAATGGAAACATATTGCGAGCAATCCGATACATACGATCAAAACCAGGTTAGCGAACTATCAACAATACCTGAGTTTTTAGGTTTGTGCAGTAGAATGTCGTGTTCTACCGTGTCAAAGGCCTTAGCAAAATCAAGGAAAATAGCTCCAGTAAGGTCTCCTTGTTCCATGCCAGTTTGGATGTCATTGCAAACTTTTAAGAGGGCAGTTGTAGTGGAGTGATTCTGGCGAAAGCCCGATTGATCAGGGATCAGATAGTTTGACTGTTGGTAGTACTCACATAGTTGCGTATGGACACATTTTTCTAAGATTTTTGACAATACCGGGAGCAATGATATTGGGCGATAGTTAGAAACCAAAGTAGTGTCACCACTTTTATGGACAGGCACTACTCTCGCAGTCTTCCAAAGTTTGGGTATGTATCCAGACACCAAGGATTCGTTAATTAGAGTTGCGACGGGTTCAGCAATTGCCGGCGCACTGAGCTTCAACAGCATTGCTGGGATTTGATCAGGTCCTGACTGGTTATTCATTTTTAGATTATTAAGATGTTTTTTAATGACACTAACAGGTACAGGTCTAAAAATGAACTTGTCTATATTGTGCCTTTGCTAATTTAGTGGAACCTGATCCCCATTTGTAGTTTCAGGATGCGTGTCATTTATTAGCTTGGCAATCAGGGCAGTAGAGCATCCGACAAAATAATTGTTAAAGGCATTTGCTACATCTAAGGGAAATTGCAGGGTTTGGTTACCCACTTTGACAGTGGAGGGTTGGGAATGGATTGGGGGAGTTTGTGCATATTTAGAATAAGAACTAGTAGTGAAGCACATTTTTAAATGTTCTATGTACTAAAGTTTCCAACAAGAATAGACTCCTGTAAATGTTAAAATTAAAATACTCAAAATCTGCAATATAATGTTTTTTTTAAATGTAAACACCAATGTCTAAGGCAGAATAGAAATTAGAAGATACTTTTCAGATGGATAAACTCACCACAATCATGAATAATGCTTATTTCACATTTTATAAAATATGGGAACCTTACTTGGACTGTGGAGGATAGACTGCTCTGGAATCTTTTTGTTTCAATGCCATTTTTATTTTACCTTTGGGTTTAGTACAAGGTTTCCTTTTTTTGTATTGAACTGGCTCCCATGCTGTATTTTCATATACATTGCCAAAAGTAAAGATTCAGAAAAAAAATAAAAATAAAAAAAAAGCTGCAAACAAAGGCTAATGCATGTTTCCATCTGGGCTTATAAGACAGTCAAAGATGTGTAGACCTTATTTCCCAAGCTCTCAGGTCTCAGTAAATTTAGCAAGTTGTATTGAATGAGTTCCACCAGGTAAGCTATTTTATTTTACCTCGGAGCCTTTGATGATTGCTCACTGCATTTGGTTGGCTATAAGAAATCCGGGGGGCTGAGCCTGACCACCTATCTGTACGGACGTGGGTGAGGCGAGCTCCGGTCCGACGGGCAAATAACACAGTGAAATCAGCGGATAAATAGCCCAAAAACACACCGGGGTACACCACCCAGGGACACCTTTCTGGAGCCCGTCGGGGCCCGGGAAGCGAAACGCCAAGTGCAGCCTACTGGGGTTGGAGCCGGGGAGAGGCGGCAGCTCTCCCCGACACCGAGACCCCTCAAGCGACCTCATTGATCTCCTACCCCCCCTTTGGACTGGCGGGGGTAATCCCAGTTCCCACTGGCTACACGGACCAGGACTGCTGGTGGGCCTCACAATTACACAGCCCACAGCAGCATAAGACCATCAAGGCATAACCAAAATGGGCTTCAAGCAAGGGCTAAAAATGAAAAACACGAGCACCCAGTCACCTACACATCCCCTGATGGCTCTGATTGGCTTTGTAAGAGCTTCTGGGCAACGCTCTGTGAGCGAGGAATGGCCTACCACCAGACAGTGAAAGCGGCAGCCTCCTGGATCAGACCCGTTACCCGACGACGCCATTATGAGCACCCACCTCGGGCATCCAGGGCAGCCGTCCGGCGATGCAGACGCCAAAGATCACGCTGCACAACAAGAGGCCGCACAGGAGAAAGCCTCGCTGACTACCACTAGAGCTGGAATCAAGCCCAGGGACTCCATAGACGGGGCCAGCTGTGCCGGCAATCGAGACATTCCCACACTGGGCATAGGCTGAAGTGCCTTTCACCCTGCACCACAGCTCACAGACCTCGAACTTTCATGTCACACTATAGACACACATTTAGCATATTTTGAACTGCACAGTCTTGTTTATATTAGGATTGTACATTTCAGGTTTTCCTTCTTTGTCACTCCTCTGAATACTCCTACCTGACGTGTGCATCTTGCTAAATCATTTAAACTAAACGAGAACCTAAGCTGTCGAAATATTGATCTCATTAATCTAAAAATGTGCCTAACTAACGAATGCCACAACTTATATTGCAAATGTCTACCAATTTCTCCTGATGTCGCTGTTGTGGCGCACCAAGGCTTTTTGTTACTTTTGTGCACAACAAAACTAAAGAATAAAAAAAAAAAGAAATCCAAGTATTTTTGAGAGTTGTTTTGGAGATTACAATTTCTGGAGACTCCCAGCTCAATTTCTTGCCACAGTTCTCAATACATAGATCCTGTTAACTGTATGGTTCTTTTTAAAAACTATTTTTATGTTTAAAATTGTGTTGTGAACAAAACAAACTCCAAAAAGAACTATAGGGTTAGTGTCTGTGTGGTTAAGGTCTTGAAGGCCACAGGCCACAATTTTATCCATGGGAACACAGGAATAATAAAATGCATAAAAGAACATGTGTCAGGGTGTGAAGGAATCCCATTTATCCAGAGGCAAAACTCAAAACAATTGTTAAATAGGATTTTATTGTGAATACATAATTCAAGTAAGCTCTTTACTAGCCAGATGACCAAATCTTCACCTGTAATTATTACCGAGTGATTCAAGCATTAATAAAGCATCTCTGAGTAAGCATTTAGGTGCCTCAAGAAGGGTACTTTTGAAATTACTTTATATAGCTACACACAAAATTCTATACGCAAATTATATTTTGGGGGAAAAAAATCTTTGCAAGATTGAATTATGCTACAGAGAAAAGAAGCTGGAATAAAACTCATAGAACAGGGTCAAAGATAAATATCAAATGTGAGCAACATTTACACAGTTTTCTCACATTTTCTCAATAGATATGAAAATCTACGGTATTATAATTATTATAATTTATATACTATTTGTGTAAAATGCATAGTCTGCATCCACTGGAGAGGCTAAAAGCTTTATTTAACGTGCCATGCCTAGTTAAAATTATTGGAATCGCTTATTAAAAATGTCTTCCATTTTCCACTTTTCCTTACTGAATTTTATACTTTAGCTTGCTAAATTCACTGAAGATTGCCTCCTATCATTTTCTCTACTTTAATATTTAATGGGATACTACAAACATCAAACAATAATGAAACCGTTTTGGTGTATAGATCATGCTCCTGTAGTCTCACTGATCAATTCACTGCCATTTAAGAGTTAAATCACTTTTGTTTTTGTTTATGCAGTCCTAATCACACCTTACATGGTTGGGATTGACACAGCCTGCATGAAAAAATTGTTTCATTTTAAGTCAGATGTTAACTTACTTAAAAATTGTTATCCCCTGCTCTGTAAATTGAATCATACTCATAAGGCTTCTGCTGGGTCTAGAATGCTATTAACACGGCATGAGATAAGGAATTCTAAATTAAACACACTGTGCAATAAAGGAAGATTAAATATCAGATGTCATTTTACAGGAAGAGTTTAGAAAGCTGTGTAGTTCACACGCAGAGGGGTGTGACTAGGGCTGTATAAACAAAGTGATTTAACTCTTAAATGGCAGATATTTGAGCAGTGAGACTGCATGGGCATGATCTATACACGAAAACTGCTTGAGTAAGCTAAAGCTGTTTTGCTGCCAATAGTGTCTATTTAAGTCTACAGATACACACACACACACACACACACAGACACACAAAGGTACGTTAATGAGGGGCTTATTAAGGTATTATTAATGATTGTGAATAGGCTAGGAAATTTATAACATAAAGCCAAAGAGCCAATCTTACCCTACATATCTGCCTAAATTATACCATATGGTTATTATTAATCAGGATACTGCTTATTAATATATTAACAAAGTAATAGTCTCAGTCATGCCATCATTTCCACAAAAATGTTATTTAAACATAAAACAATAATCCTGGTATAAAACAAACTTTATTCAGCATGTAAAAAATAAAAAGAGCAAAACAGCAAGAAAATCATTCTTAGACCAAGATCCATCATTATTGGTGATACAGCTTCTAGAACTGTACATAGGACATCACATGCCTATCAAATTGGTTATATTTATGGACTTTATATTTATGTCACGTTAAATGGCAGTGTGCCACTGTCTACTGGCCATTTGACCATAATTGTCACTGAGTAGCACAGGTGCACTGGAGCATTTCTTTTTTCATATGAAGCAAAACATGCTAATATTTAAAAGGAAATCATAACAGCAAACAATGAAAATCGATATGCAGTAACCATTTTAATTATACGTAAATGCTTCAGAAAAGAAAACATAGTTATTAATTTATTGAGCTTTGAACGAGAGAAAAAAATAAACACGCAATGCTTAAAGGAATACTGTGAAAATATAACATCACAGATTCCTATTCCAAGATTCTAAGATAGAATGTGTAGATTAGCAGATAACTAACCAAAAGAATGATGGATGAGGTGTGTGCAGCCACTGAAATCCCATGCATCTAACTTGGAAGTTCTGTGCGGCCAGACCGAGAACGCCAGTAGGAGACAAAACAAATTGAAAACAAACTTTTTTGATATAAACTTAATTTTTAATATATCCTGAAAGTTGGTACATATGCTAATAGATTGGCTAGCAGCATTTGTAGATTAATAGGTGATATTGTATTTATTGGAGTCCCTTGAACATATGGACATTGTTTGACTAAATATGAAAAATGAAAAATGAAAGTTGTAATAAAGTAAGTTAATACAAGCTTGGGTCCGTCCACGTAGAGGAATTCATTGCAATTGCCTACAGTTTTGCCCTGACTGATTTAATAAATGTTTTTCCAGAGCTTGAGTCCCCTCTGTCTTCATCGGATAGGCCTTTAGAAATCGTTCTTGATCTAATTACTGTCATTGGTCAGTGAAAATGTTTCTCTCAATCAATAAATTTTTCAAAAACTGCTTTTCACCACTTTGTTTGCTATCTAAAATCTGCATGTTCTGCAGATCTTAACAATAGGATACATGATTCCTTTAAAAAAGAGTGACTTAAAGTCCCTAAACCAATGCATTTGTCACATACAATATACCATTTTAGAAGAGAAAAAGTAAGAAAAGAATGTTAGAATATGTTATGCTGAGTAGGTTTGGTGTACCACGATGATGTCCAGGATATTCTTCATTAAGTTCTTAGCATTCATTTTTCGAGGATTTCTCTGTGTCATGTTTCATCATATCGTGTTTTCCTACAGAGCAAAATAATTGAGGAAAAGGTAAATGAGCTTCAGTGATGTCTTACCTATGCTAATGTTCAATAGCTTGTCTGTTGTTTAGTCCCCACCCAGGTCTCACTTTTTTTTTTTTTGGCTTGCTTGTCATTATAGAAAGAACCTATACCATGTGTGTGACAGATCCTGCACCAGGACGGTGGAATAAATGGTGTAGGATTCCTAAATGAACAATTCTGCAAACAAACTAGTCTTTCCTGTCCATCTCTAACCCTCCCCAAGCTTATACCATGAGCATTCCCTCTCCTGTCAGCAAAACAGTTCCAGGAGTCCAGGACAACTGCAATACTTCCAGTGGGACCAGTTGGAAATTGAATGGAACAGTAAGTTGGCCTGGTCCAGTGCGGCTGGTCAATGAAACAAATGGTAGTTCCTACTCCCTCAAACACCTAGGAGGGCACTTTTTGGAGCGGAGGTACAGGAATGACAAGCCAACAATCGCTAGACCAGCTCTTGACCACAACAGCCTGGAACTCTTTTCTGGATTAGCGTATGATCTTAGCATGGTCCAACTTAATTTGATGATTTGTTGGACTAGGCACATCCAAACTGGGTGTTTTTTGGAAACTTTGCTTGTGGGAATGAGGCATATATGTGGATGTATAATTATTATGTCTAACTTATGGTGATGATTTTATGTGTGAGCGCAGGACTTTTCTTTTTGTTATGTGTTGTATTGTTTGGCTGTTCTGGTGTCTGGGGACTTATAAAGTTATCTGTCTTTAATTTAATTATATCATAGACCTAGAGACACCAGGTCGGTAACCCATTGTTCTTGTGTGTAACCCCCTGATGTTGTCTCTATAAATGTAGTTGTTTGTGACAATCAAGCCTGCTCATGTGTTGCTTAATGTCTGGGGGGAGGTATAATCAATGAAGTTCGACTTTCTCATGGAAGAAGAAGACAATAGATGGAGGTGTTCAGACTGAGAACTAGGCTCCATAACAATGTGCATATCAGAGTACTGACGAAGTCCATAAGAAGGCCGAAACAATTGCCAGAAATTTCTGTATCTCTAGTGCAGTGGAATTTTGCTGACAATTAGGTTCTGGACTTCCCTTATGAGCAGGATCAGTCTGATATGAAACTAGTATAGGTTCTTTCTGCAATAGTACAATGAGCAAAAGCATTTTTGAGTATTGAGTGAGAACCAACCAAAAGGTATGCTATTGAGGTTTCTCTGAGCTTTTGCCAATTATCAGTCCTATCATAGCTTACGTAACAGTATCCTCCAATTCCATATTTTTGAGGATGACCCAGTAACCAAGCATTTTTTTCTAGCACTGACTTTCTATGTAATGACAGTGCTGACATATTCTCCTAAATATTTTTGTGGTCTCTAATAGGATGTGTTAGATTCTGAATCATAATAAAGAACATGAGGAGGCGGGAGCAGTTGGCCAGATAAAGGGGCATGTAGTATAGCTAATAGGGGTGGATCCATGGGGCTAGGGGTGGTCCAGACAATAGGGGAGGAGTTGTATAAATAGGGAGCCATTTTTCCTGTAGCCCTAACCATTTTATAATCGGCCAGGTTTTGAGGCCAGCGTTGGTTGGGACGAAAGGAGAGGTCAAAAGCCCAGAAGAGTTCAATTGCACATAATGTAGGTTGGCACGACAATTGTGTTACTGTTAAGTTATAAAGTTATTTATATTGCATTAAAGGGATCCTAAGTCATTTTCCTGGCACTAAAGGGTTAATAGCTCCCCTCCTCCCTCAGGGCCTTCCTCCTGCGGTGCTGAAGAGGTTAAAACCCATTCAGCCACTTACCTGAATCCAGCACAGATGTCCTCGGTGCTGGGTCAGGCTCCGCCCACACTCCTCCCCTGCCAATGTCAGCCGGCGGGAAAGACCTAATGCTTCCCTATGGAGAAAATCTGATGCTGGAGGTCTGTGAGGACGTCCAGCGTCAGATAACGGACCAAAAGTCCATTTGGAATTTTTTTTTTTAACTATTTTTACATTTTATAAAGGTGTGACTTTTAATACTATTTAACTTATTTTGGCTTATGAATTTTATTTCTACATACCACAGTTTCCATGTTTCTTCAGGATTTCATTTACACTGTAAACCAAATAATACAATGTAATTAGAACATTTAAAAATGATCATAGGTAGTATTTTAATTATATCTACTCAACATTTAACTCTATCGTTTGTCTACATTTTACAAAATATAAGGACTATGCCATAAGATTATTTCAATGCATTGTTGCTTAAAAGGAAACTCTAAGCCAGATGCACCACAGTTTATTGTAGTGTTTATGGTGCAAAGATTTGATATGTTTAGCTTTTTATAGAGTTTTAGAAAAACATGGACATTGATTAATTCAAAACATGGATTCTCTGCAGTCGAAGTCCAAAACCCACCTTGATATTGGAGGTCTTGCAAAGATGGTTTGCCTTCCTTATTATGCTTCAAATATATTTGTGTGGGTAAATGGGATTAACCAAAACCAAATTGCCACTAATCCAAACAGCTTGCTTCAATTCAGTTGCACCAAGAGGAATGCCAACAATTTTTACCAGTTCCTTCTTATCCACACAAATATTTTGGACAACTAATGAGAATCCATGTTTGATAAAAAAAAAAAATGGATGCACTGCATCCTTATAATCTTTGTAACATAACCACTTCATTTTTCCTGTAGCCCTCAGCCATTCTATAATTGGCCAGGTTTTGAAGCCAGCGTTGTTTGGAAAGAAAGGAGAGGTCAAGAGCCCAGGAGAGTTCAATTGCACATTATGTAGGCTGGCACGACAATTGTGTTGCTGTTAAGTTATAAAGTTATTTATATTGCATTAAAGGGATCCTAAGTCGTTTTCTTGGCACTACAGGGATAATGCCCCCCACACCCCCACCCCCTCAGGGCCTCCCTCCTGCATGGCTGAAGAGGTTAAAACCCATTTAGCCACTTATCTGAATCCAGCGCAGATGTCCTCGGTGCTGGGTCAGGCTCCGCCCACACTCCTCCCCTGCCAATGTCAGCCGGCGGGAAAGACCTAATGCTTTCCTATGGAGAAAATTTGACGCTGGAGGTCTGTGAGGACGTCCAGCATCAGATAACAGACCAAAAGTCCATTTGGATTCCTGAAGCCCTCTAGTGGCTTTGTGTTAGACAGCTACTGAGGGCAGACTTAGAGCTGCAATGTAAACATTGAAGTTCTCTGGAACTGCAATGTTTAACGTTGCAGCACTAAGTGCAACAGGGTCACGGCACCCAGACTACTTCAATTAGCTGAAGTGGTCTGGGTGCCTTTAGTGTGCCTTTAATATATTGAGTTGTTATTGACGTATTATTGGTGAAACAATTTTATAATAAAACTTTGGCCTGTTTTCACCTATTAAGTTTTCGTATTTTGTTATTGGGTTATGGGTTGCGAGGGGGACGAGGGGGCATAGAGATCTACTTTAACTACTCTAGATTAAATCTTGTATGCAAGAAGAATACATCACTTCAGATTTTTTTTCTTTAACCATTTTTACATTTTATAAAGGTGTGACTTTTAATACTATTTAACTTGTTTTGGCTTATGAATGTTATTTCTACATACCACAGTTTCCATGTTTCTTCAGGATTTCATCTACACTGTAAATCAAAAAATAAAATGTAATTAGAACATTTAAAAATGATCATAGGTAGTATTTTAATTTTATCTACTCAACATTTAACTCTATCGTTTGTCTACATTTTACAAAATATAAGGATTAGGCCATAAGATTATTTCAATGCATTGTTGCTTAAAAGGAAACTCTAAGATTTTATATGTTTAGCTTTTTATAGAGTATTAGAAAAACATGGACATTGATTAATTCAAAACATGGATTCTCTGCAGTCAAAGTCCAAAACCCACCTCGATATCGGAGGTCTTGCAAAGATGGTTTGCCTTCCTTATTATGCTTCAAAGATATTTGTGTGGGTAAGTGGGATTAACCAAAACCAAAATCCAAACAGCTTGCTTCGATTCAGTTGCACCAAGAGGAATGCCAACAATTTTTACCAGTTCCTTCTTATCCACACAAATATTTTGGACAACTAATGAGAATCCATGTTTGATTAAAAAAAAAAAAAATGGATGGACTGCATCCTTATAATCTTTGTAACATAACCACTTCAAAAACCTGTAGTAGCTATGATGCTGAACATGTCTTTGCAATGTTAAAGTCACTTTAGAATTTGTAATGTGTTCTAATAAACAATGTTCTCTGCTTACAGAATGTACGAATATTGATAATTCAACTGGTGGGTTTTTTGGCCTCAGAAAAGAGCCATACAGGTCTCACGAAACATCGTTGAGTACATAACTAGCAGAATGACTGCACAAATTTGACTTTTCTTGTGTAAAGAAGCTATTTGACTCATTCTTTATAATAAAAATTTAAAAACAACACAAAAACATGTAAAAACACAAAAAAACAATACTAGTCAGTTTGCATAGTTGGTTGAAGACGTAGGCAAAATTGGCAATTTTATGTATTGCTTTTTTTGTTCAGTCTGCAGTACGTACAGGGTGTCATGTCCATCCAGCAAGTGTTTGTAGGTAGTTATATCCATTTCTAAACGAGTTTTTTCAGCAATGAGAAGGTGATATTCTTGTTTCCGTTTTTCCATTTCTGATCGAGTCTGTGCCAGGGCTCCTTCTTGTTTAGTGATGATATATTGTAATTGATTGAGCTTTGATGCATATAGGTCTTGTGTTTCTTCTAGGGAATTCTCCAGAGTAGATGTCTATAAACCAGTGTATTTTGTGTGTTAAGATAATATATAGTTAATTTTTATTTATTCAATAATATATGTATGATCAGAACATTATTATTTGACAGTATAGTCTACAAAGGGGACACCCCCTAATCTAAATTTGCTCCATCCCTTCATGTCAAGGCTGCACCGCATCCTGTTTAAAATGAAGCACACTTTGACTGACAGATACACACCCTTATTGATACATACATTGACATACATTCATAGACAGATGCACAGTCATTGGCACACACACTGTTTAACCAACACACACATTTACTGACAGACACACTCACTCACTGATTTGACAAACACTGACACAACCACTCACTGGCAAGTAAACTCTTAAATACACTGACATGCACTCAGTGAAAGACAAACACTGTCATACATGCAGTTTCACTAATTTGACACAATATGACAGACACACACATTCACTCACAGACACACACACTCACACACTTACTGACACACACTGACAGCCACACACTCACAGAACGACACACATACACATTGACTGACAGACACACACACACTTACTGACACAAACTGACAGCCACACACTCACTCAGACACAAACACTCACTGACAGACACCAACACTCTCTGACAGACACACATACACATTCACTGACAGACACACACACTTACTGACAGACACACATACACACTCACTGACACACACACACACACACACACACATACACTGATAGACACACACACATTCACTGAAAGATAGACACATTCACTGACACACTCACAGGCATTTTCATATGCTGGCAAATGGTTACCTTTGTTATTTTAATTTAAGTTCACCCTGCCTCCCCACCTTTGGCAGAGAGATTATTTCCCTGGGTCCAGTGTAGATCTTGTCACTGGCATTCAGTGTGATTTTGTTTGCTCGGATCTTCATGTTCTGCTTCTTTAGTGAAGCTGGGGCCAGAGTGATGTCATATTCTGGGTACCAGCATCACTGCAGAGCAAGAAGAGATCAGAGCTCCCTCACCTACCATCTGCTATAGGCACAGCCCCGACTTGGGATGGGGCCCTAAGGTGGCTAGCCGGTCAGCAGTTGGGCACCTCATGGCACGAGGCTAACAAGGCATCTTCTAATGTTATCAGGGCATTTGGTGGCAGCGTTTTTTCCGTCCCCCTGGAAAGTGCTGCACAAGGTAAATCCCTGCTTACTCACTCACCTAATAGCGAGGGGAGGGGGGGAATTAATCTAATACCTGCAAAAAATATATACTTATAATTTCGCAAAAATGAAAATAAATTAATAAAACACACAAAAAAACTATGCAAGTTGTCACATCGAGGACTCCATGCAGAAAGATGGTATTTTCCAACTATGCAAGCTCATCCTAGTGTTAGGCTTAGGGGATTATGTCTATGAGACATTAGGGCTAGATATTATCTGCTTCACATTTCTGTTAACTATAACTTCCATTAGTCTCTTATTAGTGATATTTAAATGCGCCTTTGTAAAGGAACGTTTTAAATGTATACACATTTTGTAAAAAACTACTTCTCCTACCTTTGTAAAGGAACATTTTAAATGTATACACATTTTGAAAAAACTACATCTGCTACCTAGGTTTAATGTCAATATTTAAAATGAATAACCATTCGAATTGAATGTTTTCTGACACATATTCATTTATTTAGCTTTTTTTTTTATATATAACAAAATCAAGATTATTATTAACAAAATCAATTATTGTCAAACCTACGCTGTTGTAGTAAAATATGATATATAAAAGGTGTAAGATTGTCTAGTTCATTCACTAACGTGTGAATTTTCTCGAATTCAGAGTGAATGCTAACTGAATTTCATTTTTTTACCAAAACAGTCAAACACTATTTTAGCATCAAATTAACCAAAGGCTATATTTTTAATTTGACTTCGACTTGGGGACTTGTTTTACTCAAAGATCTTGATGGCCTCTACCACTGAAAATAAAGTTTTAAATGTCTACAGGGCTAAAGATTCACTAATAAACATCAAATTCGTAATGTATGATAAAAGTTGGTCCACTTGCCATGTCCTCATCACGTTGAAATTCAATCTCTAGTGTCTGCAGAGATTTCTTCAAATGAATGAGCTCTGTCTGAACTGGTTCTATCTGCTCGAAGCCAGAAGACCCATTTTTATACAGACCTTCAATCTGCAAAACCAACATTCACAGAAAAAAATCATATCTTGTGAAATATGAAATGTTTAAACATTTTTGTATAATTACTCATTACAAGTTTCAGAAATGCCCAATGGCTGATCCCTAGATGTTTAAAAACGACAACTTTAATGATATTTTGCCATTCTAAAGGAAGGCAAAGCATTATGTGCTCCTAGTACTTAGGGGGATCTACCTTTTGGGCACCCCTGATTTAGACATACTAAATTCTATACACTTCCTTTCACCTAATGCACATTATTACATTGCTACTCAATCATATGTACACATTTTACATTCATTTATACAATTGCAGTGTATATGTTTGCAGTCTGTGCGAAGATATTTATGTCTGTGACATCTGTGAATGCCTGTGTGTTTAATAATGTATGTATACATTTGTGAATGCATATGTATGCTGCATGTATATGCATGTATATGTATGTATGATACACATGTAGTGATAATGCTTGTGTATGTGTTAGACTGCACATTAAGTTTCGAGCTGGGGTCTGAAGAAGAATAGAGGAGGAGAAACAAGGAAGTGGGCTACACCAAGGAGGCAGGATCACCATCAGGTGGGTACAGCCGATACGGCTGCATGGGGCCCAGGCTTACATTCCCAGTGTCCACATATGTATAACATTTATCGCTATCTAGGAACACTGGTTGCATCTTGTATAGAGAAGAGGGGGCCCAGCACATGCACTCTTCTGCTTCTGGTAGCTCCTCTCTCCAACTCTTGTGTATGGGCCCCCTCTTCAATATACAGATAGCTGGCACTGGACCACCAGGAAGTGAAATGCCCACCCTTCCTGGCTACAAATAAGATGCAGGGAGTGGGGAATAAAATTCATTAATTTGTGTAAAATAAAAAAAAGAGCTTTTTGCTAACAGAATAAAGCTCCTATCCTACTCACATATATACACACGCACACTGCATCCACTACACAAACACACATACTGCATCTAGTACACACACATACTGCATCCACTGTTCACACACAACATCCACTACACACACACTGCATCCACTACACACACACCGTCTGAATCCATTAAACACACATACACAATGGATCTACTCCACACACTCTGCATTCACTATATACACGCTGCGTCCACTACACACACACTGCATCCAGTACAAGTAGTGAACGCAAAGTGTGTGTGTGTGTGTGTGTGTAGCAGATGCAGAGTTTTTGTAGTGGATACAATGTGCATCCATTACACACACAATAACACATACATTGTATCCACTACAAACACTCTGCATCTGCTACACATACACACACACTTTGCATTCACTATATTCACACTCTGCATCAACGACACTCACACTGCATGCACTATAAATACACTGCATCCACTACACAGATATACTGAACCCACTGTACACACACTGCATTCACTAAACACACACAGACTGCATCCACTATACATACACTATGCATCCACTACACACATACACACTCCCTGCATCAACTACACACACATTATCTGCATCTGCCACACACACACTCTCTGCATCCACTATACACACATTCTTTGCATTTTGGTCTTGTGCATACATTTTTTTTATATCTCAGCATATATCTTCACATGTCCTCAAGCATAGGCTTGAGGGCCTGTTAGCCAAAAATGTATCCAATTCAGAACAGGAGGACTATCAGAATAGGAGGAACTGATAAGGGCTTATAACAGGTCTATACCTACCACACTGCTCTCAACACTTTGAGTCAAGTTCTAGCTGTGGTGAAAGGTCAACAGTTCTGCCACATCTGAGAACACGATAAGTATGGTGGTAGCACCATGCTAGGAGAACATTTTCAACATAAAGGATTGGAAAGGTAGCCAGGACTAACAACAAGAACATAATAATAGCACATAACGGAAAGTAAGTCTAGAGGAAATCCTGTTTTTTTAATGTTTAGACTGGCCTAATTAAAGCCAAGACTTCAATATCATTAACAATCAAAAGTCAGGTTGAAAGAAAGTTTGGAAACATTAAAAGGTAACAAATGCATATGATAGAAAGAGGAACAAAGACAAATACGGCAGAGTTATACAAATTTCAAAGATACAATTTAGGTAAGATTAACTTACACTTTGTCGAAAAATGATTTCAGCATCTCTAAGGTTCTTCTCCATATGCTTTTCATATTTCTTTCTCATATCTTGTAATGCTTGAGTCAGTTCAGCAGATGAAGCAGCTTTCACTTCAACTTTAACTCGGTGGCCCAGTTCTGGAAGCTGCATTTTCATCTTCTGCATGTGAAAGAGTAATAACTATTACTACGGAAACTATTCAGTTCACCTCTCTCTGGATTTCCCATCAATCTTCTGGACCTAAGAATTGTGGTGCTCTCCATTAAGGCCTATTTTAATTTCAAGATTTCTTCGTGTTTACAATGTCATGTACCAAGTATGAGTGTGCTGTTCTGATTTCGTTTTTAAATTGGGAATTTTCCGGAATTTTAAGGATAGTGTCACAATATGACCCCCGTAGCTATGGGGTGAAGGACACCCTTTTATGATTAGATTGAAACTACTGGGCACCCCTGGCCTTATTTTTGATACAGCTTGAGGGTTTGTGCACCAAAATAAATGCAAGTTAGTTTGTAATTGTTTTCATGTCATCAATATTTCCGAAAATAAAAAATTTGATTTCAAATTTTAGTCTACTTTTAGTAACATCTTTTTTTTTTTATTGTTACCTCTTCATTATCCCTCCGCATCTGCTGAATCTTTTGCTGGAGGTTTTCAACTTGTCTATTCAGCTCTGCAGTCTCATGGTTAAGTACTCCCAATGTTCTCTGAAGACTTTTCACATCTGTTCCCATACTATTAAACTCACATTTTTCCTTATACCTAGCAGAAATTAAAATATATTTATTTTTTCAAATGATCTGCCTATCCAACTAGATATATTCAATAAATCGAAACTGATTGGTGTTTTACAAAAATAAATTGCGGTGAGGTGTATAAAAAAATAAATGTGATTATTTATCAACTTAAATTCTCAACTTGATCCCATCAATGTATTTATTCTGCGTGGGGATTTGGCGAAAATAGTTTAATACCTATTGATATTTCAAACTATTAAATTACACAAAATATTTGGACTGCAGATAGCATGATATGCCAACAGGCATAAAATGCAATATATAATTTATTTAAAAAGGGGCACTTGGAACACCATAACCACTTATTGTAGCTGTTATGTGGTGCTAGTTTTGAAAATGTTTAACAATAAAAAAACAGGTCTGTCCTCTCACCCATAGTATAAGCCCTAACCCCAATTAATAATACAAAACTTAAACTTTTACATCATCTGCATGAATCTGTCCAACCTTGGACATTGGCGATAAGCAGAGAATGCTGTGTTTAGAACTCTGTAAAATCAGGAGGAGAACTTGATCACACCATTCTTGCCTATCCAATGCCTAGATGTTGTAAGAAATACAGATGTCATAACACTCTATATTAACAATGAGAAATCAGTGCAAAAAAAAAACTCCGCCACACATTGTAAAATACAATTAATGTAACACAATAGTTTAATAATGTTTATAATTGGTTGCAGTTCCAGCCAATCCCAATGCTTGTTTGAGTTTCCTTAACTTTATTGTATTTCACTTTACATCCTACCATGGCTCTAATTTAATTTTTTTTAGATTTTTCAGAAAATATTTATTAATTTTTGGATAAACGTTTAAAATTATTTAATATTTTGAAAAAAAATTAATATTTTGACATTTCATGATACATTAATATATTTTTATATATGATGTATATATTTCATATTTTAATATTTTGTCTATGTATTGAATATTTGAATTTATTATTATTGAAGCAGCCCTTGATTCTACGAAATTCACAATTCCTGTCTTGACACACTGGAAGCTAGAAAACCTATGGAAACATTTCAATATATAGTTTTCTTGAAAATTACCAACCATCCTTTTCTTGAAAATATCTTTTCATTCCAAATATTAACTTTAATCACAGGTGGCTCAGCTTTCAGTCAATTCTCAAGAATACATTTTTGTATTTTAAATCAAGTAGAATAAGAACATCTTAAAGCAGATTTATTATTTAGGTCATATGTGTGCCCATTGTCTTACTTAATATTTAGGTCATCGATGGCCAGTTTGGATTTCTTTGTCTCTAGAATAATGCTGGTATTTTCCCTGATGGCTTTGGAAATCTGTAAGAGATACCTTACTGTAAAATATAGTAAAATATAATAAAACTACTTTAATTAGCTCAAAGAATTTAATTGAGACAGAAGCAACCCACATAGCCACAACAGCAATACAGGAATAGAAATTGACGAAAAAATATACATACATGGAATGCGTATACACTTAGTGGTGTTATGTTACGTGGCTATCACCATCATCACACATTAGATTCACTGCATTTTGCCATTGAAGACACGTTACAGTGGTCAAAATAATCTTCTTGAGTTCGTATTGGGTGTGGAGTTAACCCCTCGTCTGGTCACACACATTGGGGGGTGGAATGGGTTGTTATTAAGGATTGAATTAATTATGTGTTTTTAAAAGTTGGTATGTGGTTTAAAAGGTTTCGAGCTGGCCTGTGGCTCAGAACCTGGGGGTGTATATCCCTATATTGAATCATTCGGACAAGTTGGTATGGTAGGTTTCGAGCTGGCCTGTGGCTCAGAACCTGGGGGTGTAGGGGAACCTTGGTATACCCCTACATTGGATCATTCGGACAAGTTGGTAAGGTAGGTTTCGAGCTGACATGTGGCTGAGAACCTGGGAGTGTAGGGGTATCTCTGTATACCAGTACATTGGATCATTTGAGCAAATTGTTTGCACTTTATTATGTTTCATGATGTTATTTATGTTGTTATGTTGTCATGGTGTTATGTTGTTAATATTGGGTTCATTGTCATTGTAATGTTGTGGGAGGCTAGTTATATACTGTGTCATAGGGTTTGTTTGACAATGACTTTTTTGTACATATTGATGTCTGTGCATTAATCGGTATGTATGGGGGAGTTTATTCCTAATGCCCAAGGGTACAACCATGTGCCTGTCAAGTTACTTCCTGTTTGGCTAGCTCAATGGAATTGGAATTACCTTTTAGTGGATGTTTGCTTGATAGCCACAAAAGATGAGTTTTTGGACAAATGTAAACGTTTATATTTCTCAAGAACAGCAATGTTTTACCTTGTTTGAAAAAAAAGGATGGCACTTGTGAGCCAAAGCATCTACATTAGGACTTAGGGGTTGTGGTGCTTACAGTGTCTTTAAGAGAGATATACCTACACATATCAGTAAAAATAGCTGCACTAATTTTGGTGTAGTGATGGATCTTAAAACATAATATAATAATAATAAAAATAGTTTTCAAATATTTTGAGACATCTATATCAAAATTAATTTATAGTATGATTTGTATTAGTGGTAGAGACAAAGGCTAATACTATCATCGTTCGTTGTTTTCATGAAATGATAAATTTCTGTTAGATGTTAATGAGAATTAGATGTATTTTCTCCATCTCTATCCACAGATTTGTAAAGGGATAAATAGGTGCTTTAATAAAATTTTAGGAATTTTGTTTTCAGCAGACACATCTACTTATACACTCATCACTATATAAATGGATGTGGCTGCTTAAAACCTAATAAAGCAGCACTTTATACTTTCATAAGTCAGCCAGTACATTTTATTGGTCTGGAGTTTGTTCCAGGGCATTGCTTATTTCGTTTTGTGTTTTAAGAAAAAGGAACAAAGAAATGAAAATAAATTGTCTGTGTACAATTTGTGGAAGTTGTGACTGTCTTCTACAGATACTCAAAAGCTCAACAAAGTAGACAGAAATAGCTTTCAGTGGTATACAAAGCATTGACTCATAAGGTAGATATTCTAGGACAGGGGTAGGCAATATTTGGCACTCAATATGTTGTGGAATACATCTCCCCTGATGCTTTGCCTTTATAAGACATGATTTTAAATAGCATTTGCAAACAACCTTACTATATATGAGGATGTGAGGTAGGTGGATATTTAGCATTTGATGTCTTGTCTGACGACACTTACTGGTGAAGTCGTCTGACCAGGAACGGAACCTGGTTTTCCCAGTTTTAAGGCAGTAATGTTACCACTGCACTAACTAGCTGACATGTAATATCTATATGTAGTCCACAACATCTGGAGTGTCGAAGGTTGTCTACCCCTGGTTTTGGCCATCCCATGTTGTACTGACAAGGTTAAAAAAACACCCCATGAGCATGTTATTATACCTGTTTTTGTTTTTGTTTTTTTTAAATAGCAAAAAAATATCCATTCTCCAAATTTTCCAAAACTTTAAAAAAGGGCACAAAAAAGGCATATCATTTTTTGATGCAATATGTAATTGAATACTTTTTCACTTTTGAAGGAACTGCCTTATACACAACTCAAGCAGGAACAGTAACAGATGCAAGGTTTTAATTTTCAGACAGTAACATTTATATTTCTTAATTATGATGGTGTCTCCTAAATGCATATTATGAAAGAAAAAACTAAACATATTGTTTTATACTGTATACTGTACCTGACACCGAATCTCCTCTATTATCTTCAAATATTTGTTTGAGTCAGGGAGTGTTGGGGAGGTTTCTTTTGAATACCACTCACAGATGTCCCTCTTCAAATGAATATTTTCTTGTGCCAATGAGCGGATATTCCCCATATAAGATGAAAGTCTTTCGTTCAGGTGTTTCATGGACTCCTTGTTATTAATATTAAGGAAGCCTTTTCTGTTCTGGCCACCATTTCTTCCAGTGTTTTTTAAATATGTCCCATGGTCATAGTTTTGCCCCACTTGATCATATCCACATCTGTGATTGAAATGTTTGTAAACAGTGGTCACATTATGTTCTCTTGGAGGAGTTATGTGTCTAGAAGCTTGATGGAATCCTTCATTGTGCAAGTGTTGGTTTTCTCCATGAAGTCTTTTCTGCCACCAACCATAATTTGAGTTTTGGAATCCTCCATAATGGAAGTTGTTTGAGAAACGATTATTAGTTCTTTGAAATTCTTCGTGATGGGAGTTTCTAAAGACCCCTCCAAAATTGCGGAGTTCTTGAGGGTAGTGCTTGGGTCTATGGTATCCTTTATCAAATCCTCCATATTGGGGGTTGTATGATAACAAATTATTATTGAATCCACCTTGATAGGATTGATGGCAAACAACATGATGGCCTTTGTAGGATCCTAAATGATGCAATGTGTTATTATGGAAGTTTCTTGTGGTCTGGTTAAACTGGCTACCAAAGAGGCAGTGATTCTTCTGCTTGAATCTGTGGTTCATGTTTGTAACGATATATCTGGAGCTGTTTTGACAAGTGAAATACAAGTACTTGACGTCTATGACTTCTCTTTTATATTAAGAAGGCGTAAAATGCTACCAGTTTACAAGCATTTTAAAAGCATAATTTACTTTAATAATCCACACATGTGTATGTCTCACTTAGAGGTACAAAAGTGACAGTTTGTCAGTTAAAACATTAAGTGCATTTATAGATAGGTGTTGGGGATTGTATGTTTACTATTGTGTTTAAAACATTTCTTAAAGATATCAGTCATACTTTCACATGAACAGTAGGGAAACCATGAAGCATGGTAACAAATCAATCATTTTATATATGTTTAAGAAACTATTAACATCTCCCACTTAGTAAGGTTGTCATGTTGTGTCATATTTAATAATATTCCACTGTCTGTGAATGTTAAAGAGACACATTGACCATTTGTAAACTTAATAGATAAGAACTAGTGAAAACCTATTGCAGACGTTTGTAAACAATATTTCACACATTCTCTGTGGCATAATAAGTTGATTCTCCCAAGGAGCTCAAGCACCATACGACCATTCTGGTTGGGTGTCAGGCCCTGCCCGTCTACATCTATTTTTTAATCACAAAATGCAAACTTTTTTTTCCCTAGGATGAGAAAGCATACAAAAGGCATTTTATTCTCTTATTATTGAGAAGTGAGAGGAATAGGAGTCACTGGCATTCATTAGAGATTGCAAAAGAACAGGCTGGGCTTGAGTGAGACCAGTGAGAAGCAGGAGATACATATTGCGTAGACCATCATTTTAGTTGCCATGGGCATTACGAAGAGGATACATGAGGATACAAAATGTGCTAATGTGAAAGTTGTAGTATTTGGACATTGACTGGGTCTGAGGAAGGAAAGAGACATCCAATTCATGAGGATGTTGAAGTAGCAAGCCTATAGGGTAGACTTATGCTAGAAGGGAATCTAACAAATAAGGATGAGCGAGGTGGTGAATTTTTTAAAGTTTGGGTTTCAGAAAATGAGGAATAGTTATCCAATCAAAGATGGAGAATTAGCATCTAGATGTCGGAGGGAGAGAGAGGTCAAGGAAAAAGAAGGAGAGCTGGATGCCATCAGCATATTAAGTAACAAGTTCTCTAGTAGGAAGGTTATAACTGTTTTTTAAGTCAGGCAATGCTTTAGTTCCCTATAGTTTCACCACCTGTAACACCCTTGTGATGTTAGCGCTTATCCAGTGACCTAATGGTAAATTGGGTGTATAGTATTTCAGTCTAGGTAGTGGTACCACTGTCAGTTGTGGGAAGGGGCAGAGTAACTTATGTGCCTACTTGTGCCATACATCCATTGAAAATCAAGTCGTGGCAAGTGGGATAAATGTCGGTGGCAATTAGTGCAGCAGTGACCAAATCAAATGTAAGAAGGAGTGGGGTTAGAGAAATTAGAAGTGAGTATTTAAAAACTGTCTATACAAAAGTGAAGTAATCTCACAGACCAAACTGTATGTATGTAGGGAAACATGTGAATCGTGAAGACACCCCAAACACTTGGGTATAGCAAGGAACCACCATAAATAAAACATCACGTGATAAATTATAAAAAAAACATGATACTAAGTCTTAAAGCCAAACATGCAGTTTAGGCTAGAAACAAAATACCTTCTGATTCAACACAACCTATAAACGAGTAACCAATCATATCCTAAGAAAATAAATGGATGAATACCCAGAATAATTCACCAGAAAAAAATAAATAATAATTAGTGTGTATCCAAAATGCATTAAAAGGTATATTCTCATTCAGTCCTCTGGGATGAACAGTCTCTAAATTCCTAATCCAAAATGTTTCCTTTTGAAGTAGCAACCTTGAGCAATCTCCACCTCTGACGAAGGGAAGGATCACATGAACAGCAATACATTTGAGTGTGGAGAGTCTATACTGGAACTCAAAGAAATACTTGGTAACCGGTTTATCTACTTTGCCTTCTCTGAAGGCTATCATAATAGGTGGATTGTGGTCTCTTATTCTGTCCCTCAAAGTTAAATCAGTTTTTCCCACATAATGAAGTCCACAGGAGCATGAGATCAGATAAATCATATTGTCTGTCTGGCAAGCTATGTAATGTTTGAAGGAAAGTCTTTTGCCCAAATGGGGATGTGCAAATGTGGTGCCAGTGAGCATATGTCTGCAAGTGACACATCCAGGACACTTAAAACATCCCCTTTTCTCCATCAACCGGGGAAATAGAATTGCTATTCTGGTTTGTGAGGAGAAGACGGAGCTAATTGGATTAGTAATTTGACAATTCTCCTCAATAGAGATGAGCGAGCCCGAACAGTAAAGTTCGTATTCGTACCAAACATTACGATTTTCTGTCCCCGAACCCTAGCCCGGACATTTCAGTAACAGTTCGGGTTTGAGTTCGGTGTTCGTCGATTTAATGGTGCGTTTTGAAAAGCTGCAGGGCAGCCAATCAACAAGCATTTGACTTGTGTGCCCTTAGAAGCCATCACAGCCATGCCTACTAATGGCATGGCTGTGATTGGCCAGTGCAGCATGTGACCCAGCCTCTAGATAAGCTGGAGTCACATAAGCTCTTATTAGTGTAGAGAGGATGCTGCAGCTGTGAGTGACAGATTAGGAAATTAATTCTGGTGTTGAATCTGCAAACTACAGTGATTATTTTTGTGGGTGCTATAATACATTTTTGTACCCTGCCCAGAGCCCAGTGCCAGAGAGAAATAAGCAATCAGTCTGTTGGGCACTTGCAACTGCATGTGTGCCAGGAACATTATGTTAATCCTGTTCTGGTAGCTCAGTGGGCAACATCTAGGCATTTTTAAATAAAGCTGTGACATTGCAGTTTGACAAATTCACTTTTTTTGGTGCTAAAAAGTAAATTTGTGGCATGCACTTCATATCGGAGAGTCAAATAGAACCGTCAAATACTGTGGTTACATCGCAGTTTGACCAATTCAAATTTTTTGGATGCTTAAAAGTAAATTTGTGGCGTGCACTTCCTATCTGAGAGTCAAATAGAACCGTCAAATACTGTGGTTACATCGCAGTTTGACCAATTAAAATTTTTTTGGGTGCTAAAAAGTAAATTTGTGGCGTGCACTTCCTATCTGAGAGTCAAATAGAACCGTCAAATGTGGTTACATCGCAGTTTGACTAATTCAAATTTTTTTGGGTGCTAAAAAGTAAATTTGCATTGTCGCCTGACATAAACCATCTGTTAGTTTGGTGGGTGAACACAAAGAATGAGGAGAGTGTCAAATAAGGGACATGGCCCTGGTCGTGTTGCTGCTGGTGTGGGTGGAGCTCCTGTTGCAGGGAGAGGACGTGGTCGATCTGTGCCAGCTACACACACAAGTGAGACACCTTCCTCAGGTGCGAGTAGGCGACAGAACCTTCAGTGTTATTTGGTATGCCTGAATGCCGCCCTATGAATGGTGAGGCCAGAACAAGTACAGGCAATAGTATATTGGATGGCTGACAGTGCCTCCAGTTCCTTCACATTGTCTCCCACCCGGTCCCCTGCTGAAAGCTCAGAGTTGGCACCTGGAGCCCATGGCCATCTGTCTTTCACCTCAGCCCCTTGTAAATCAGCCAAGCAGTCTGAGCCAGAAGTCATGCAGCAGTCTCTTATGCTTTTTGATGACTCTGATGGCAGGGTTTCCGTGGGCCTTCCACCTAGCCCTGCCCCAGAAGTGGAGAGATTGAGTGCACTGATGCACAACCACTTATGTTTCAGGATGTGGACATGCGAGGACCACCGCAGCACATCTCTGATGATGACAAAACACAGGTGCCAACTGCTGTGGCTTCCTGCAGTGTGCAGACCGGCAAGAAGGGCAGGGTTGAGGAGTGGGTGGAAGATGATGTGGAGGATGATGAGGTCCTAGACCCCCCATGGAATCAAGGTCATGAGAGTGACATGTCCAGTTTGGAGGAAGAGGCAGTGGTCGCACAGAGGCACCAGCACAGCATAAAAGGGAGCAGGGTGCCAAAGCGGAGCGGCCGTCCCCTAGACAGTACGCCTGCTATTGCCCACCTCATCCAGGGACTGAGAACACCAAAGCTAGCTCCAAGGAGTTCCCTGACGTGGCAGGTCTTCAGACAATGTGCTGACGACAAGACACGTATGGTTTGCACGCTGTGCAATCAGAGCCTGAAGCGAGGCATAAACATTCTAAACCTGAGCACAACCTGCATGGCCAGGCATCTACATGCAAAGCACGAGCTGCAGTGGAGTAAGCACCTCAAAAACCAAGAAAGGTCTCAGGCTCCTCCTGCTTCCTCTTCTGCTGCTGTCTCAGCCTTTTCCTCCACCTCTGGAGTGACAGTGGCACCTGCACCCCGCAAACAGAGAATGTGGCAGCAACGCCACCACGTCCGCCACCGTCCCCAAGCATCTCCACACTGTCCTATAATGGAAGCGTTCAGCTGTCCATCTCCCAAACACTGGAGAGCAGGCGATAGTGGAGTTTCAGCTGCAGCACGCACGGGTCAGTCGCTCTGCGGAACAGCACCACTTCACCACCAATGAGTGGGCCTCCATGCGAGACCTGTGTGCCATGTTGCGCTGTTTTGAGGACTCCACCAACATGGCCAGTGCCGATGACGCTGTTCTCAGCCTTACTATCCCACTTCTATGTCTCCTTGAAAAAACGATTCAGGCGATGATGGAAGAGGATGTGGCACAGGAAGAAGAGGAGGAGGAAGAGGGGTCATTTCGGGTTGGCTACCTCCTCCTCCTGAACCGCCGCTTCCACCTACACCACCACGGTCATCTCCTCCTCAACCTCCTACTCCACATCCACCTCCTCCTCCTAGTTCAAGATTATTATTTTAAACTTTTAGGTATATTATGTTATTTTAAGTGATTTCCTTATCCACATTTGTTTGCAGGGCACTTGTCCTACTCTTACCCCCATGTTTGTGTGATTGCAGGGGGATGTTTACATGTTGTGTTGGTGTTTGATTGCTGGGATGTATGCACATACAATACCACATAAATACTAACACATATATACATA